AGAAAGAAAATTAGCTGGACAACATTCCAGTTCTCTGAAGAACTGAAGGGGAATTATCCTCAATATCACAAAATATCACAAAATAAACCCCTATGGAAACAAGACAAATTAAAAATTGATACTTTAATCTAGCAGAACCACACTTAAAAAATTGTTTTAAATGTTGTAAAATAATCTCCAAGCCATTTGTTCATTTCCTGGAAGCTGTCAAAAATGTCTTAAACCACCCTTCCCCTGGATGCAATGCAAAAGCAGTACTTTTACCAAAAATGCTGTACTTGAATCTAATCATTAGTAAACAATGAACAAATCCAAATAGAGGGATGCTATGCAAAACTAATAGCATAATAGTCTTGCAAAAGATCAAAAAAGGACTGGGAAATTGTTTTAGATTAAAGGAGACTAAAGAGATGAAGAGATAAGAACTAAACATAATGCACAATCCCTAACTGATCCTTCAATGATAGGAATAAATGTTATAAAATTCATAATTTAGATATACGGGGAATTTGCACACGGGTTGTATATTAGGCTAGGGGTCTGCAAACTTTTCAGTAAAGGGCCAGATAACATTTTATGCTTTGCCAGTCACACATGCCGTGTCAATTATACAAATCTACTGTTGCAGGGCAAAGGTAGCCACAGACAATATGTTTTAATAAAACTTATTTATAAAAACAGCCAGTGAACTAGATTTGGCTTACAGGCTTTAGTTTGCCAACCCTATATTAGAAAATACTGTAACCATGCTAAATTTTCTAAAAGTGATAACTGAATTGTGGTTATGTGAGAGAATAGCCTTATTCTTATCAGATATAATACATGCAAAAACAGGAGTGAAATGTTATGACATGTGCTTTTTAACTCTGAAATGGTTCCAAATGACTCATAGGAGAGAGAGAGAGAGAGAGAGAGAGAGAGACAGAGGGAGGGAGACAAGAAGGAGAGAAACAGGAAAAGCAAATGTGGCATTAATGTTAACTGCTGAATCTAAGTGAAGAGTCTATAGATTTTTATCATAGAATTTTTGCAACATTTATAAGGGTTTGAAATTTTTCAAGATAAAAAGCTGAGGGAAGCCAGATGCAGTGGCGTGTAATTCCAGCTACTTGGGAGGCTGAGGTGGGAAGACTGCTTGAGCCCAGGAGTTCAAGATCAACTTGGGCAACATAGACCCCATCTCAAAAACAAAAACAAAAAAAGTTGGGGGGATGCCTTCAACTGTGTAAGATTATGAGTATGTGGCCCCGTGATGTGACTCTCATCAAGGGCAATTACTTCTTGATCAGTTGTTCCTACTACCAGGTTAAATGCAAACCAGGAAACATATCGTGCTAACTCTCAGCATTACCATCCCCATTTCTGAAAGCCGGAGTGGCCGGGAGAGCAGACAGGACCTACCAGCTGGCTGCCCAAGTTTACCCTGCTAACCTCTGGTCCGAGCATCGCTGCAGGGTCCGTGATGGTGGACATGACCTCATTGATTAATTCCATTGGAATATCCCCCATAACTCGGGGTTTCTTGGCCTCCTCTAAAACATGAGAATCATTCATTTTCCTCTTTTCTCCTGTGAGGATCAAAATAAAAAGCAAACGATGGGTGGTTTAAAACACAAAAGAGGTAACACATACCAACTAATCCAACTAATTTTCTAATAGCATTGATGGGTATGGAGATCAACTCTCCCTTTACCAAGGGAAGAGGCGGCAGTGGAAAGTGGGAAAGAGAAGGTAGGTGGTCACAATAACTGCCAACCCCAGATCTATAGAAAATATTTTCTATTTTCTATGATAATTTTTTAGCTTGATACGTGAATTAAGGTACATTTCTCTTCATTTGCAAATGCAAGGGATGATTCTAGTTATTGTTGGTTAGTAATCTCTAATATAGTCCCTTTGAGGTCAGAGAACATAGTCTCTATGATACTAATACTAAAACATCAAAATTTTTTGAAACTTGCTTTATGGCCTAAAATAAGATCAATTTTTTGTAAATGTGCAGTGTCTTCTTGGAAAGAATGTGTATTTTCCAATTTTGATCTCTACACATCCATTAGCTCAAGTTTATTGATCATGTTTTATGGGCTTCTAGATACTTACTGGTATTTTTGTCTGATTGATCTATGAATTACTCAGAGAAGTTTGTCTAAACCTTCAACTGTTAGCTGATTTATTTCTCCTTGTAGT